GCGACACTGGCAGCGATGTCGAAGTTCTTCAGAAAGAGTTTGAAAATACCGCAGCGGATCTCGGCCTCGTAGAAGAGGGCTGGCAAGTGAAAGTAGGCAGATGGACCATCAAATCTTGATCCAGCATCCCAAAAAGTATCAGTACAGGGTAGGCTTACCAAGTATGGCAGACCGACGCATCGCTCACGAGTGCTTCACTTCTCGCTAGAGCCGAAAGCGCGCGGCGATGGCTTCGAGACAGAACGGAGAACAACGTTGTTGTGGTCTCGCATGGCTGCTTCCTACACTTCCTGACCGATGACTGGAAGGGCTCGTTGAGCGCACAAGGTTTGCAGTCCCTTGATCGCTACATCATTTTCACGATTGCTGATCATCCATGACTAGCCACTGGATGGTCGAACGCGGAGTTTCGTTCATATGAGCTTTCGAGTGATGGTGGCAGCACCCTACTAAGGGAGACAGCAGAATCAAAGGAGAGGAGAGGAGTTGGAGCATGCGACCACGAGAGCGAAGAGGAGAGGCTGCTGGAGAGAAAGAAGACGATTGACACTTGGTTAACGTGGGGCATTGTCACTGGTTGAATCATGGGGTATGGTAAGATTGTATGGTATGTCGAAAGAACAGCACGCGTATCCGCTTCCAACACAGAAAACGTCTTCACACCTCCATCTGCCCTTTAACATCTTCCCACCACTTGCCAACCACTCCTGCCCTCTCACAGTCTCTCGCCTTGATCTCGCAGGGAAACGGCAACGGTCCCCCGATGACATGCGGTGTCCATTGGTCCGGCCCAATCTCTACTCCATCTTTCTTCCCAAGCTCGAAATTCTTGACCAAATTCCCACAAAAGACCAACAGCTCCGCCTCCGCAAGATCCTGGCCGGGACACACTCTCTTGCCCCTCCCAAAGATATGATAACCCTTCAAGCGTGGATGTTCGGTAAGTGGAGACTTGAAATTGGGGGACGAGGGGTCGAGCCAGCGGGAGGGGTCGTAGACGGAGGGAGGGGAAGAGGAGTAGGTTGTGGGATTTTGAGACATGGCGATGTCGAGGACGTGGACGACGGCGCCGCGGGGGAAGTGGTAGCCGGAGTGGGTGTAGTTCTTCGAGAGTAGGCGAGGGACGCCTGATCACTGGTCAGCTTTATGCTATATGGAACTTGGTACAGATCAACAATTTAGGATGCAGAGGAAAGAAGGAACTTACCGAGTGGAACAGTACTCTTCCATCTCACACATTCCTTGATAGCTGCCCTCAAAATTGGCAACTGCGGATTATGCTTAAAGTCCACCATCTCATCCTTTCCAACTACCTTATCAATCTGCTGACGCACTTTGTCTTGCCATTCTGGATGCAAAATCATAGCCATGACGAATAGCGTCGCCGGTCCGCCAATAGTATAGATCGCGACAGTGCAGAGCATGCCAACTGCAGCCTTGGCCTCCTCCTCGTCAGCGAAGAGAAGGTCGGTATCGGAGCCAATGGCTTTGGTAGCCAAGCTTGCGGTGGTGTAAATTGCCTTATCTTTGGATGCTTTTGCCAGATCGAATGCGTCCTTCCACAGCGCTGCTTCCTTTTCTCGACGTTCTCGCACTCCGCGCTGACCCGGCGCCATCCACTCAGGGAAGTATCTTAGGAACGGCATGAGATTAGGTATGGGCCCAGAAGGGCCAAGTTGGGAGATGAAGGCGCCGGCGTTGATCATGTGCTCTATTGAACGATCGGCGGTGCCATACGCGAGGCGAGAGCTGATTCTAGCGCAGAAGAGATGGGTAAGAGTGAAGAAGTCTTCTGGCTTTCGGGAGAGCTCGTGCATGAAGCGCTTCATCTCATGCTGGATGTGACCGTAGTATTGGTTCTTAGCTGCGCGGGTCATCATTGTGTTTGCGAATCGTTTTTGACGGTGGAAGTGATCTGTAAGTCGGACGTCAGTGACAAACTCATATCAGAGTCTTGGTAATGGCAGACATACCTGTGTACCCGAGCAGAGGCAAGTACAAAAAGTCCTCTGTCACCCCTGGGAAAGAGCCAATATCTGCCCTCGCCGAACTCAGCTCAGCATTCTTGACCATCAAGTCTTGCGCAACATCTTCTCTTGCGACCCAGATGTGCGTTTCGCCCCCAAGTGTACATGCGAACAGCCCGCCATACTGCTTGCTGAACTTGTGCATTGAGGTCCAAGCCTGCATGCGGTCGACATCGTGAACGCGACCTAAGTAAGGGAGTGTTGAGCGCGGACCCGGGAGAGCTTTGAGACCGGAGCCAAACGGCGGAAGTTCGCATGTGAAGTAGTGAAAGCAATGGTATGTAACAAAGAGAAACAGAAGTATAAGGAGGGTGCGAAGTACAGACAGGAAGACTTGATATCCAGAAGTAGGGAACGAATAGGCTGTATGACCTATCGTAGCGTTAACGGACTGGAGGATGGTCGCTGCGTCTGGCAGCTGCATGTTCGGTGCAGAGTAGCCCATGTCGACTGTGGCTGTATCTCGAACTTGAGGTTGGACTTCGCACCTTCCATCGCTGGCCGATGCAAATGTCCATATATACACTCGAAGCGACATAGTAAAGCCACTTCCACAGGTGTGGTCAGCAACCATCAGCCTAATCTTTTTTGGGAATACGGTCACCGATCATGTGGCTGCTCACACATTTTCCCTCGCAACTCATCCATATTAGATATACTCAATTAGTTCGAGGGCCGATTCAGCTACGTAAAGAGTAGTGACTAGTGAGGATTCCCGTACACTGCAAGAATAGGAGCATCAAAGTAGGAAGGTCAGCTCAAATGTCGTTCCACGCTCTCGGGTTGAGCATGCGCATAATATCCTCATCGATACGGAACGTATATCGGTTACCGTGAAAGCTTGATGCATGCGTGCTGCGACCGTGCGTACTGTATAAGCACCGATGCATCTTCTTCTTTTACTGTGAAACTTCCTGATTCACCGTATTACTAGGGCCCATGACGAATTAGGAATCATTTTCGCATGTGCTGTCATCATCTTCTACGCTGTTACCGGTTTCGGGATCGGTCCAGTCGTCAGAGTCGCCATCAGTGGTGCCTTCCTCTTCCTGGAAGTCAGCCTACATGCTGTGTGCGATATGATTGGATGTGCTAGCGTTGCGTGGACCGAGTCTAGATCCAAACTGATATTGTAGACGATTGTGCTTGGATGGGATTATGCGCCGGAACTGCGAGAACGTTAGCGATGTCTGAAGTGATACTGCCAAAGCAGCCATTCGCGGTGGATGACGCAGCGCGTTCGTGAGACTTTGTTCCCACTTGCCGCTGATCTGTTATCGGTCTTGGCGTGAGGTAGACCGCATGGCAGGTATCAGATCGCTGTCACAACCATAGTACCTAGGTACAGTGTAGGGCTTCTGAAGTCACCTTACTTAGAGCGCGAGAGAGGACGTGGCGCGGAGTTGACGCGTTTGCGAGGTTTGTGCTTGGCCTAAACCTCGGCACATGCGATGACCCTGAGCTAGGCCTAATTTATCATTCTCCAAAATCACGACAATTGCACGTAACTGCAACGCGTCCTCAACACCAACATTGTGAACTTTCTAGCATTGGAGAAGTGTATATGACATGAAGAACTGCACACGTCCGAACATGTGGCGTTGTTCACCATGCTCCACTTACCCCACATCGGTTAGCGCTACTGCAAATCTCAAATCGTCCTGGCCGCGACTGGACTATTCAAGCTCGAGATAGACCAGGTATATAGCCACCAGCATGCTTACGCTTCTTCTCTCAATCTTCATTGGTCTCATCGGGTTCTATCTCGGCTTCGTCTTGCTACTCACGATCCCGACTCTACAGGATCACGTCATCTTCCTGCACCGAGTAACCCGAACCTGGAATCAGGATATCAACGTACCCGAGCAATGGGGCTTCCTGCGCAACCAAGTCACACCCTTCCATCTCAAGACGCCAGATGGTGAGACTCTACATGCTTGGCACGTTCTGCCACTGGAGACATACCGCCAACATCAAACCCAACTCCGCGAGGAGCCAGTCGGACTCTGCGCGAATGTCGAAGACCGAATCTCCTTCCGTTTACTGAAAGATCCTACTGCGCAAGTAGTTATCTATCTGCATGGTGCAGCAGGCACACTGGGATCTGGGTGGCGGCCACAAAGTTACAGGGCGATGAGCGCGACATCGACTAACGTACATGTCCTGGCTATCGATTATCGTGGTTTCGGTACCAGTTCTGGGTGGCCTTCGGAAGCTGGTCTTCTTACTGATGCGCTTACCTTGCTCAAGTTCGTAACGGATACTGCGGGTATACCACCAGAGAGGACTGTGGTCTTTGCCCAATCCATGGGTACTGCCGTAGCTTTGTCGCTCACTCATTACTTGGCTTCACAGCCGACTCCTGTTGTTCTAGCGGGAGTCGTCTTAGTCGCCCCATTCGCCGATGTGGAGTCGCTTACAAGGACGTACAAGGTTGCTCGCACCCTTCCGCTGCTCTCCCCTCTCGCAATATTTCCACCGCTTATGAACCTGCTGAACCGATTTATCATTACCAAATTCCCATCCAAGGAGAAACTTGCAGCACTGATTCACCGGCTGGACAGTGTCAACGTCAACAGCAAGCAGCGAAACTATGATATTACTCTGATACACGCCGAAGATGACTACGATATCCCATGGAGTCACTCCGATGTCCTCTTCTGGCATGCTGTTAACGCAATGTTTGATTCGTCCTCTCCCAGTACTTTCGAAGAGCTAGAGAAGCTTAAGTCGAAGGAGAAGACGCCTCTAGGTGCTGGTGGATGGGAAGTGGAATGGAAAGGGAAGCGTGGGATCATCAGAGAACAGATTATTAAGCATGGTTCTCATGATCGAATCATGAGTTATCCCATTGTCAGCCTGGCTATCTCGAGGGCATTTCATATGTAGGAGATAAACCGATGACCATCTGTAATGCATACCCTATCTGCAGCGACTGGGTCTCGCCATGTCGGGCCAGAAAAGAAACACCAATCAGACGAACGCCTCACCGTTCCAACTCAGTTTGATCATCTTTGCTTGATCTCGGTTCTCCGTTCCTCGGAACACATTAAGAATTATAAGCGAGACACCTTCCTTGCGTGATGTACCGATCTTCAGCTTTCGCCCAACTGTGTGAAGTACCTCTTCCTCAGCCGCCAGAAAAGAGCCTTTCGGGTCCTGTGCACTGATGTAGACACTCTCTAGCTGGGGCAAGAATATTTCGGTGTCGGTGTCTACAACGGACCTCCACGTCCACGTGCTTGATATAAAGTTCCATGAAAAATCCGACCTGAAGTAATCCTCGACGTTGACGGATATAGACGTGAGCAGCGCTCGCTGTGCACTACTAAGGCTGTCCACAAAATCTCGGCCATGGTACATGTTGTCGAAGTGGAAGAGGTTCTTCGCGTACTGACTGAGGGCTGTTTCACGGTGCAGCTGGCGGCATACGAGGCCGATGGTAAAGATTCCCGATACAGGTGCACGAATGCTCGCCTGGGCGCTTTTTGCGTCCGGTCCAGAAGTATTAGCGGAAGTGAGACAGACCGACGTTTTTCCCGGTCGCGTGTAGGATTTTGTTACGACGATGATGTTTCCGCCAACAGCTAACTCGTAGATACGATTGCGCAGCTCGCCAGGCAGTCGGAGTAGAGGCGACTCGGTCATATTGCGCAAGGTGCTGCATCTTGTTAGTAAGATACAGGACTTTAGCGTGCTAACTTACATCTCCTCCAATGAACTCGTCATCGTGATTGCTTCAGGTGGTGCCGTACCGCGAGGTTGTTGTTACCTGGGTAGTCGTGAGTTGTGGAGGTAGAGGATAGATCTTATCGCGTGCGCCGCGTTTATTTCGTAAAGGCGCTAGCCATGAGTCGTTTCAATCAGGGTGAAGGCGTAAAGAATCTTGGCGATTACTGAGAGAAAATCGGACAAACGCTCGTCTCTAACGCTCAGCGCAGCTTCACCGTCAAGAGGTAATAGAAGCTCCCACTTTGAACAGACATACGGACTGGAAAACTCAACCAACACACACGAATCATGTTGGAGCCTACAAAATTGCGGAACTATATTGTGATAGATGACGGTGTTTGACTTCCTGATTCAATCCCCAGATGCGGGCGTGCACTTCCAAGGTTGGTGGTCGGGGTCTTTCGCGCTAGCCTTGATACGTCATTTGCTTGGCGGAAGGGGATCGCGTCCAGTCGCGCTCAAACCTCCCCGGGCCGTTTCAGCGGTCCGCCTCCACTGAAGATGTCCACAACTCAGCTGGCACCTTCCATCTCTCTATACGTCACTCGCGCCCATTCGTAGAACGGAACCGGCGGCTGAACCTCCTTGCGAGTCAAGTACTTCCACCAATTCGCCCAGACATGCTGTCGTATGTACCCCACACGATACGCGACATGCCATCCCGTTGGTAAATCGAACGTATACTGCAGCTCTTCTAAAGTCCGCATCCTCGTCTCTGGAACGAACAAATACACCAGTACAAACGCCACCATATTCAAGCCTGCGAAGATAGAGAATGCAGCTGTTGGCCCAATGCTGTCCTGCAGGAATGGGAAGACTAGGACCAATACGCCAGCACCCAGAAGGTTGACCGCGACGGAAACAGCCATGCCAGCCTCCCTCGATACGAGAGGAAAGACCTCTGCTGCGATCGAGAATGGAGACGTACCGGCTGTCGGGGCATAAAAGGCAACGAAGATGACCGCGAAGATGCTGACCAATGGTATCTGGACGGACGTGTCGGTGATTTTGAAGAGGAAGGCAAAGACTAGGATTGACCATGCCATGTTTGGCAGGCCGAGCAAAAGCATGACGGAACGTCCCAATCGATCCGAGGACCAATAAGCAGGAAGCCCGAACATGTAATTCGCTGCTCCAAAGGCCAGACCTATTATCGCGGATGTACGATCACTGTTTGTTCCGGCGTTGGGCCACACTATCGTACCTAAGAAGGCGATCGTATTGACGCCTGTCAGCGTCTGGGTGATCATGGACACGGAAGCGCACAGCAATGCTCGTCGACACCGCTTATTGGACCATAACTCCCTCAGACGCTTGTAGTAGCCGTTGACACCGATGTTGTACGAATACGGGTTGTTCTTCTTCGTTCGTTTCACCCCAACCTCGAAGTTTAGGCTGGAGATGTCACTCCACCTCCTATTCAATGTCGCGAGTTCAATGTTGCTGTTTTCGTTTTGCTCGGGCTGCGACCTGACTTGGTGCTGGCTATCGTTCCGGACCGCTGTTGCCCCTAACTTCGTTCCCTCGACATTGGGATCTAGCGCGAATCGACCTGGCGATACGGCTCCGTGTTCAGCACCCCTTTCTAATCGTGCGCGATTTGGCGATGGCGAAGATGGCTCTCCAGAAAAGCTCGGCAAGCTAACATCTACGCGATCGGCCAGGGTGCCAAGCTCATTTGTCTCCTCTTTTAAGAGTCGGCTTTCGAAATCCAGCTGAGCATGCGCATACATGAAATCCCGACTTGCTAGTAAACGTGTGGTCTGGACCTGTTCGAAGGCATCGAGTGCTTTGGGGTATTTTCCATGCTTCATCAAATATCGTGGCGATTCCGGCATCAAGTATATCATCACCAGCAATGGCACTGTGGGGATGAGCACAGTGTTCGTAAGAATGCGCCATGCTGATTCCGCTTTCTCCACATAAACAACGACCAGCAAGTTTGCCAGAAACCCGAGAAAGATGCCTATCGGATCAGCGATTACACCATATCAAGGGGAGCGGACGTACCGGCTGCATCAGCAAGCTGCCAGTTCGCCAGAACAGCGCCACGTATATGCTCCGGTGATATTTCAGCCGCATATATTGGAACTACAAGGTGTTAGATTCATCGACGCAAGCATGAACGAGAGCTTGCACTGACCTATCGACGCTTTTGCACCCAGAGCTATTCCGTTGATAGCTCGGCAAGCTGCAAGTGAGCCTACATTGTGCGTAAGTGATGCACCGATTGTCGAGGCTATTGTGATGCCACAAGACAGCATCACACTACCTCGCCTCCCTAAGAAGTTCTCCTGCAGCGGATCTGCAAGGAGTGTACCGAAGAGGCCTGCGGAAAGCAGCGGAATGGCGTTCAGCATCCCAAACGTCCAAAGATCGGATGAAGGACAGTTCATATCCCTGCGATAGCAGAGGCCAAATTCGTCTGGCATGCCATGAGCAGTGCCATTATTGGCGCTTTGCGTCCATCCTTGGATCATACCCGCAAGACTTGCGGTCATGATTGTCGCGCGCAGAAATTTGGACTGCTTCCAAAAGCCTGTACTCTCATCCTTTTCCTTCTCCAACAACAGCTTTTCCGAATCTGTGAGCTCATCCGCGTATTTTCTCATAGTCTCATACTTGTCTCGAGCGAGACGAGCACCAAATCGAAGCAACTCATAGCGGTCTTTGAGACCGGCTAATGAAGCAAATTCCCACACATACTCTTCTAGCTCAGTACGTTGAGTCTTGAGGTCGGGAATCGTGTCATCGAACGTCAGAAACGGATTATCTATACTATTCCACGTCAGTCACATTCTGTAAACATCGACTCATGCGCATACTTTTGTCTTGCGCCTGTTGAGCGCTGTTGATTCGTCGCAAGGGTTTGGATCCCTACTGTGCTTCCGAAAGCTGTTGCTTGCTGAAGGGGTTCAGTCATAGTGGCCAGCGCTTTGAGCAAGAGTATGTCGCTTTGGGGCCGTAATCAATGTGCGACAACGCGCCCCAGCATCACAATATATGTTTGCCTGCCGCATCGGGCTGAGTCCTATAAGGCTGACAGGCCTTTCCAAGGGCGAGCCTGGTCGTGCATACGGCATGTCTTGTCGGGGTCCTCCACCGCCATATTACCTACAAATGCTCCTAGACGGGTGGCTGAGCAATAAGTCCACGTTCTGATGATCGCCCTCTTCTCAGTGGATTGGTTGCCTCGCCAATGCTTTTCGCATGCATCGCTGCCCTTTTTCAGGCGACATGGGTCTTGGGAGACTTCGGCCAATGAACGCATACATCGCTAAGTGCCTTCAGACGCCACCAAGCCGCAATTGGCATTAGGGTCAGCCCTTGCATCACCTTGCAACCTTGGATTTATTGGTGACACTTAGTTCTCTCCTCAGCCCTCTGCCGAGCAGGATGCTTTGAAATCGCCTAGCTAGGACGCGCCACCGCGGGGACGTCTGTTCTGCCTTTCGGGACCCCGTTCGAGACGATGAACCAGTTTACGTGAAATCACAGGTATTCGGAATGAGCTTCCGAATGACGAGTTCCTCGGCGTATGAGCTGTCCCCACAGCCCGCTCGGCTAGTCGATATGTGGTGTGGTGAGAAAGGGACGGCACATAAGCGGCTGCCTACTTGATCTGTAATAGTGTGGCCGACGAGCTTTCCCCGCCAGCCGCTTTCCCCAGGTACGTGTGGAGTTGCCCCAGCCCGTTGACGCATCGGACGAATGCCAACCCTTGCATGGAATACTTGACACTTACGTCAACTCACTTCACACGTGTGCCTCTCACATTACCCGTCCTCATTCTCGGTCATGAACAGGCTGCACGCGTTCTGCTAAGCCCCTTCTTGATCTTTGAGCCGCCTGGCAAGAGGCCTTCTTCAAATGAAATCGATGCCGCATCCGTAACGATCGTTGCGCTTTTGCCTGCACTTATCAGACGATAACCTTGTGTAACACCACAACCTGGCTCCTGACTTCCTCCAACGATCCACTTTAAAGCGGGCCTGGCCACCACACACGGCACCCAAGTAACCATGGCCGAGCCGGTCTCCAGCATAATTACCATCGCAACGGTTGGGCTGGCCCTCGTCCGAGCATGCAAGAACTATATCGAAGCGGTGCGGGAAATCGACGACTTGGTCGACCGACTCCTCGAAAGGATAACAGAGTTGCATGGAGTTGTACGCCTACTCAACTCGAAGTACCATCAAGCTGAGCCCGATGGCAATAGCGAGCCGTCAATCTTGGTGCGTGAGAAGATCGCACTATGTCGCGATCGTCTTAGAGAGATCAAACGCAAGATAGCGGATTTGGGACTTCAAAGCAAAAGTGCGGAGACCTTTCTCGACAAGGCCTCTGTGAAACGAAGAATGGACGCAGTAGCCAAGGATATCGAATTCGCGGTAGATGACATTCGACGATACCTCGGAGATATCGTCCTTGTCACCGGAGCCTGCTCATATCTGTTCGTACGGTTCTTCCTCAGACTAACACATCTCTAACGCCATGCTAGTGAAGTCAGCTCCTATATTCGCCGCGTTTCCGAGAGCTCAGTACCAGTAAGTATACGTGGAATGTATAGCAGAAGAGATGGTGCTGACGCTTAGACAGCAACCCATAGCGTATGACAGCAAAGAGCATCGGCCAGCTCAAGATGACCTCGTCTCGCTTGATCGATGGTTCTCAAATACGGACACTATCTCAGATCCAGCACACCTCCGCAGAGCGTCCAATCCGACATCACCACCGCGTTTCTCTGTCTCCTCGTCCTCTTCGAGCGCTCTTCTTACACAATCCGACGACGACGAAAGCATTCTTTCTAAACAAACCTTCGGCATCTCAAAGCCAGAGGAAGACTGGAAAGTCTTCCACCGCAAAGTGGTGCAGTGCAAAGATGACCCCGCCCTCGTCGCAGAAATTCATTCGATGTTGGAACAGCACCCAGAGCCTGCCACCCTCGTAAACATTCTGGGGGACCATCAACGCGCTCCCCTTCACCTCGCAGCGCAGCGTGGCTATGTCAATCTAGCTCGCATTCTCCTCGTATTCGGCGCTGATATTAACGCCAAAGACACCGAGCCTGCTTCCGTGTTAGATCATGCCGTCGCACACAATCAAGTAGACTTCATCACAATCATATTGGATATGGGTGCCGACGAGTCAGCAATACTGGAACGGAACAGGAATCAATTGGAGCATAAAAAGGCTGTCATTGCGCTTAGAAAGGCGCGGCAGCAAAATCCAACCACGGAGAAGGCCCGAAAATTTAGCTGGAGTCTTGCAAGAATACGCTCAAGCTGAGCCATTCGTCTCGCGGAATCGTCATCCGGACCCCAATCTGACGGTGGCAACTGTGTGGCGAAGCTGCAGCCCTAGCGGCGAACACGACAGGGCTGCATACTGTAGCCTACTGCATGGAGCGGAGGTGGGGTTACTCACCGGTCACTAGCCCACCACCGGACGGTCTTACACAGCATTTACGACCCTGCGCCCCCACCGCGCCGTGCCTTCGGAACGTCTTCTCGTTCTCGGACATGCTCGCGTTACTAGCCGATCGGGCCGTGCCACCTGCCACGGAACACCACAGCTGCGGCCTTATCGGGTCATCCTCGTTGCATGTTTAGGCTGTCTGCACGAAGTATGTCGTACCCACGCCATGCTGGTCAATACGACCTCCCCCTGCCGGGATTTTCGGTCTTGGGTGCTGAAACCTAGGTCCTACGTTAGAGTCATCTCTTCCAATCAGGTCGAGGTACACGCAAAGATTACAAGACCAAGTGATTGCTCCCAAGCACTCTCTCTCTCTAGCCAGCGAGCATATATCCAGTCTACACGACTTCATTGGATGCTCGACTCCTTGCAAAGACTCGTAGCTACACACGTCTCTTTTCCTTCAACGTCCATACCTCATGATCTATGAGAGAAACACACCTCTTGTCGCTTCTCGGCAGCTGGACGACGTTTTGCACGGGGTTGGGGCTCAGAAACTGCAAAACCCAGAAAATATCCCAGGCCTTTGGCTCAGGGCCGCATCGCAAACTCGATCTCACGATGTGCGGCCTCTCTCATCCAAGGTGGCCACATCGTGAGTTCATGTCAAATCCCAAGGCAACCGGCTCACGTGGTCAGCGACAGAGTGAATACTCTATTTGTCTGCCATCGCCTGTTGACGCACATGAACACTCTAGCAAGAACCAGATTTATCCACTTTACCAACAATCACTGCCAATCCACCTTCGCCCATTCGCACCTACCCAAGCCTCAACCCCTACACCAGACGACTACACTCCAGAGCCATGAAGTCCAACTTCACTATAGCCTGCGGGGCTGATAGCTATACTGTCGATCTAGACATCATTACTCCCTACTCTGAATACTTTCGGCGCGCAATAGAATTTGGGAAGGAGGCTTCCGAAGGCACCATAACGCTTCATGACGACGAACCTGCTATGGTCAGTCTCATGATTGAGTTTCTTCATGAGGGCGACTACGATGCCACTTCCTGGAAGATCGATGCGCGCACAAAGGATCTGACATGGATCAGAAGTTATGGCAGCAGCCCGTATGCCAGTCGCGAGGGGAACGATCAACACGACCCCCACAATAATGATGGCAGTTCTCTCTTGCCCCACAGAGAAGGATCATCAGCCATCGGCGCTATATCTTCATCTTCCTCGCGGAAACGGAAGCCTCAAACATCACCAGACCTACAACCAGATCAGATTGTCCAGAAACGACAGCGGGTACTTAATGTCATGCCAAAGGGCTCAGGCCGAGCGCTCTATCACACCCCAACACCCCGCCACATGTTGATACACCTCCAGCTCTGGGAAGTCGCAGACAAGTACCTAGTTCCCGACCTACAGGCGCTATGTACGAAGAGGTTCCAAGAAGCAGCGGAATACTACCATCCCAATCCCGAGATGATTGACGCCATACTGTGGGTTTACGAAGACCTTCCCGAGCATGCGACGGATCTGCGGGAGGCGGTGTTTATGGTTGTCGACGGGCATCCAGAGCTGCTCGATGATGATGCGGTTAGGGAGTCTCCATCTTGTCAAGGTCTACGTCGTTATATGTCTTCACGGGAACTTGGAAGGTCGCAGCGGATCATAACTCATCAACGCGGGGTTTGGCCTTATGTTTCTTAGGATGGTGGAGTCATTGTTATTATACCATGTACCATTCTCAGGATGTTGTAAGCTCTTATAAGATATGTTTTCTACACGCCCATAATGATAATCTCTTACAAATTACGCACGAGATTAGACGTAATTGAAGCTGCCCATATTGTATCTGAGCACGATCTTATTCCTTCGCACTCCAGTCGACCAGCGCATCTGCACCCAATTTGTCTTTGATGATCCGCTCGCTCAGATCCCAGAGCGCAGCACCAAGGTTCTCATCGCTGGCTTGAGATGTCTCTTTGCCTGGTTGGCCCTGCAGTCACGTATCAGTCATCGAGCCCAACAGTGTTGTTTCTAAAGTCAAGGGCAACTTACGGGGTCGTTGAAGTAGTACCCGTTCATGTTCTTCTCCTCAATCTCGTCGGCCGTGCAGCACCAAAGCGCACTGTACGACCCCTGCTCCACGTCTCGTCCAGCGAAGAGCATGGCATTTGACAACAACTTACCGGTGATACCGGGATACGCGTCCTTCCACTGCTGCTGCATAGCCGTGTTGACAGCGCCTGGGTGTACGGAGAGAGCGTATACATTATCCCCATTAGGCTTGATGACGCGATCACGCAGACCATACTTCGCGAATAAAATCATGGCCAGCTTTGTGCGTCCATACAACCGCGTGGGGTCCATCGAGCTATCGTTGATCTCATCCATGCTTGCGAAGTGTACATCAGACGGCGCAGTACGATGCATCTCACTCGACTCAAAGACGACCCTAGGCGCAGGCTTCGTGCCCGTCTTACCCGTCTTT